TTCAAAGACATCACTTCTGATCTCATGTACTGAATTTGGTTTACCGCCCTAAGCAGTTAGTCCTGATTTACCTTTGCATGAAAGCAGAATCAGCTTTTAAAAAAATACCATAAAATCAGGCTTTTCTGATTATCATTATAGAAATAGGGCAGGAAAGGACTTTAACATAGCTTCTCTTCCAGCCACATCTCTGTGCCACAACAGAGCTACCAGTATCACTTCTGACAGTTGTTTTCCTAACCTGACCTTAAAGACCTCTTGTGATGGAGACTCCAAAACTTTCCCACACAACTGATTCCAGATAGACATCGAAGTTTGAAATGAACAAACTGAACATGAATTAAAAGATTCTGACCAGCTTTTGCATGCATGGAGTCATGATATCAAACTTCTTTTTACAGCAGAAAAGAGAGCATACACTACTTTACGGAATTTCCTTTTGGAGCGAGTCAATACCTGCATATTCATAATTCAACACGGAAAACCTACTGAATTTTGCTTCTGTATACACCTTTGAGAAACTTGCTTTTGGCAAGTGTGCAGCTGGGCATGAACCTTACAAGAACTTTTATGAGTGAAGACGTGCCTTCTTCACTCATAAAAGGTATCAGCTCTTAGAGACCATATAGATCTTACAACTGAACATACTTTTCTATGGAATCCTTCTTTGGCCCCTCAAACTTGCAAACAAGTCTCTGAAATAAAGACTTTTATTGGTTTCCCAGTCTTTGGGAAAACCATACCTATTTTTTTAGGTAAATGAAAGGAAAATGTGTGTATTGAGGGTTGGGAATGAAAATAACTCCGAGATACGTACCTTCAGTGTTCTGAGATGTAGCAAATCTCGTTCCCACTCAAACCCAGCTCCATGTAAGGAGGCAGAGGAGCTGGAAGCTCACTAAAGATGCTGCTGACCACTGACTAGGGACTGATAGCTACTTACATGTACTTCTGTGTACTTCCCATACTTCAACATTTCGTGCCCCAAAGGTTAGGCAATTTTGGGAAGGGGGTCACTAACTGAGGAAGGAGTCAGCAACTTCTCTTGTGCGATGCTGTTAATTAGAATAGTTTTACTGCTATTATTTACATTATTTGGATAGAAGAGGACACTTTTTTCATCCCAGCCACAGCTGTGGAGAGCTTTTGCTAAATGAAAGAGGCTAGGGAGTTAAAAATCAAGAAAAAATAAAGTAAGGCTGAGTGAAGTCATAAGTGGGGCAAATTAAGAAATTGGCCAAAGGAGGCCAATTTTTCCTCCTGTATGTTTTTGTTAGATTACGCTGGACAAAGGGCTAACAGGGGTAACATACAGTTCCCCAACCACCGAAATAAAACTAGGAATAAATAAACGTACAACTATGAATCTTTTAATTTTTTTCAAATGTATGCATTTCTCTGCATCTATGTTTCAAAGCTTCTCTGCTCCCAGTTGTTGCTCACTCATCTATAACCATTTTAGCATAACTAATAACCCAGTCCTGAAATGTGAGAGAGGCTTCTTGTTTGCACGCTTTTTGTTGGTTACTGGTGAAAAACTGCACAGGAGATCTGAACAATAAGAATCATTTGGATATGAGCAGGCATTTTCTGTGCCAAGCTGGACAACAATTATTTCAATAACTGCTAAAGTATGTTAATAGAGCTCTGATACAGTAATACAACCAGCTTTTGGTAACGCTATCTTGCTTCTCCACATAATATCCTTTTTGCTTGCAACCTGAACGCTACAAAGGATATCCAGTTTTGTGCCAACCCTCCAAGAAGATATACTGCAAATAATTCATTACTCACATGTAAGGGCAAAAGCGCTCTCAAATCTTATTAACTTGATGTTTCCTAAATCCTTTTTTAATCTTGTTTTATAGAAAGAAAACATTATAGCTCTATTTGTATTTAGCCCTACATATGTGAAATATCTTCTAGACTAAACAGAGATAGAGTAGCTCTACAATTTTAATTTCCCACTGGATTTGAGCTTCCTCACTCCAATTTCTTATTAACGGATCGGTCACAGAGGTCCCAACTTAAAGACTATGAGAGGCAGCTATATTTAGTGTCCCTGTCCTAAATCCATCAATTACAATACAACTATTCTTTTTTTTTCCATTGTCACTCAAGATATTCTCACCAACTACACAAGTTTTAATTCAAAAAAATTATTTAAAGAAAGTAAGAACTGAGCAAAGGATGGCTAGCTAGAACCCCAAGGCTAACACCTCACCCTTCTATCCCTGAAACACATGGTCAAAATTTTGAAATAAAAGCTCATGCGGGCTGTTGTCAGACCTGCCAAAGTCTGGAGATTCCAAGCTATCATGTGAAACTTGCAAGTTCCCCCTAAGTTTGACCATGCAAATAACATGGTTAGTCAAACCTCTCTCATAATAGTTGGTGTTTTTATCTGGAGCCAAGAATTTCAAAGGAGCAAGAAAATGAACAAGAACTGGTGGGAAATAACTACTAAAAAAATAGTTAACAGAGCTCTTTGTTTAAAATTTGAAATGAGTTTTGAGTGGTGGGCTGGGTCAATATGTTCTTAGCTAAAATGAGATTCAATCGAAGTGAAGTAACTCTTGTACTCTATCAGAAGACCTCTCTGAAATGTGCTGTGGTTGACAGTTTCTGTTCCAAAGAAATCTAGTTCTGAGATACCAAAAGCACTGCAGCAGCAGCAGCAATGCAAGAGCTTTCAAGTTAACGTACCGGAATATTTCAAAGGACAACTGAGAGGGACTGTTTGGAGACTGCCTCTCTTCAGCTGTGGAATCTACAGAAGTATAAAAAAATGAGAGAGATACAGCGGAACAGACACTTTTCCTTCCAGAGGACATATGGGGGATGTTCTATAAAGAGCTAGCTGTTCACTCAGTGCTCCTAACCTTTGCCACCTGAGCAGGATGCTTCACTACGCTTGTCTTAGCTACCTGTCTCAGCATGGAATGACTTCCTAGCTGGTGGTGCCCATTTTTCTAGACTGGCCAGAGAGAAAAGTTCAACAGCTAGCACAGGCTGGACTCCTAATTTCTACACTGTAAAATTCAGCAGATAGGATACTATCCTCAGAAGTGTTGTTTCCATCCTGTTCCTATTTATTCCACTGCTCTAAAATACAGAAACAAAAATGATCAGGTCATTTTTCCATGCAAATGATTGTCATATATCGTATGCCAAAGAACAGGAGGAATGTCTGGGTGAGCATGAGGAAAGAGAACGTCCAAATGGAATTCCTGCTATTAAGATGTAATCAAGCTTGTGAAATTGAGAACGTCATGCCTAGCCAGATGTGTACAGAAGGATGTTTCAAATGAGAGTAATTAACTGGCATAGAGGATCACATACTCAGTTGGTCCAAACTGGTGAAGCTTTATTCACTTCAGTGCTAGCTGGATATGTACAAGAAAAATTTTACTGAAGTTAAGGCAGTGTGAATTCCAGGCCACAGGAATGCTTTACAAGCCTGCCCCACACTTCTCAGGGTTTGATGATTCAGTTCTTTCAGCAACATAGAAAAAAAGACTTAAGTTCTCTTTGGTCGACTTCTGAGGCATTCC